AATTCTTTGTTAGTCTGTCCCAAATCCAGAGTGGGGGCTAGAATAGTGCCAATAGGAGGTTTCCCCCCCTAGCTGCATAATTTTCGTCAGGATTGTGGCTGGGTAGGAAAGTGTTAATCTTTCTTTCTCCAGTACACTACAGTACTGGAGAGCCAGTGTGGTGTAGTGGTTAAGAGTGGTGGACTTGTAATCTGGTGAACCGGGTTCGTGTCTCCGCTCCTCCACATGCAGCTGCTGGGTGACCTAGGGCTACTCACACTTCTCTGAAGTCTCTCAGCCCCACAGAGTGTTTGTTGTGGGGGAGGAAGGGAAAGGAGAATGTTAGCCGCTTTGAGACTCCTTCGGGTAGTGATAAAGCAGGATATCAAATCCAAACTCTTCTACTGTGACCTTAGTGAAAATCCTCCTGCACCTGTAATTAAAGAAAGCCTCCCGCCCCACCCCCTTGCCCCACCGCACAAACATATCCTTAGTCAAGGAGTGCCAAGACAAGAAGCTAGAATTTGACTTACTCTTTTTGGAATTTTCTAGCTATTAAACCACACTATTGATAGAAGCAGTTTCTGTTTATTTGGTCTATAGATGTACATCAAAGATGGTGTGGCATTATCAGGGCTATTACACTGGGGGGGGGGGGAGACGACAGTATACATATGCACAAATTGTGCCTTTTAAAAAGAGACTATAACAGAATCCGCAAAGGAACAGAAATTCCATGCAAGTATGATTAGATTCCTCCTATCCTAAATTCCATTAAAATCTAGTCCAGAACATCAGAATTGCTCTTAAAAGTGCCCTTGGCACATTGCCATTTGTCTCCTATGATTTTTCATTTCAGAATTGTCCACATATGGACAGTAACACAACTGCAAAGCAGCACAGTATTTCCACGGCCACAGTGGGAATATGGCGCTCATATTAGGCAAGCAGTTGTTATGCATGAGAAGGGAAACTTATTCCAGGAGAAAGATGTTGTTGTTGGGCTTTTATGGCCCATTAAATATAGTCTGCTTACTCAACTTTATGTGTGTATCACAAATCACACTTGTTTTTTTATTCCTTGCTGGTGTTTGAGTTAGAGCTTTCAAATTAAATCGGTGTGTTTGGACTTGCCTTTATAAATGAGATTGTTCCTGAGACTTAGCCCTTGCCCGTACAGCAAACTTAAATCTCTTGCTTCTTCCAATAAGTAGCATTGCTTCTGTCTGTAATTAGGAGCAATTATGCCATTTTTGTTTCTCGCAGCATAAAAATGCTTTAGGAAAAGGGTGAAAATGCAGCTACATTTGCATTTTAAAGCTCCACTGGAGTGGAAAAACAAAGCAAACCTGTAAGACCAACCACTACAGCACAGGCAAACCAAAAAATATAGATAAAGTAAAGGTAAAGGTACCCCTGCCCGTACGGGCCAGTCTTGACAGACTCTAGGGTTGTGCGCCCATCTCACTCAAGAGGCCGGGGGCCAGCGCTGTCCGGAGACACTTCCGGGTCACGTGGCCAGCGTGACATCGCTGCTCTGGCGAGCCAGAGCCGCACACGGAAACGCCGTTTACCTTCCCGCTAGTAAGCGGTCCCTATTTATCTACTTGCACCCTGGGGTGCTTTCGAACTGCTAGGTTGGCAGGCGCTGGGACCAAACAACGGGAGCGCACCCCGCCGCGGGGATTCGAACCACCGACCTTTCGATCGGCAAGTCCTAGGCGCTGAGGCTTTTACCCACAGCGCCACCCGCGTCCCAAAAATATAGATACGGTTTGTTAAATCAGGGGTAATGGATGGCTTATTCTTTTATCAGCTTTGACTTGCGCTCCCCTACCCTGAAACCTGATAAACTAGATCAGGGGCCAGCAACCTTTTGGAGCTGTGGGCCGGTCCACCATCTCTCAGACCATGTGGTGGGCCGGACTATATTTTTTTTTTGGGGGGGGGATAATGAATGAATTCCTATGCCCCACAAATAACCCAGAGATGCATTTTAAATAAAAGGACACATTCTACTCATGTAAAAACACCAGGCAGGCCCACAAATAACCCAGAGATGCTTTTTAATAAAAGGACACATTCTACTCATGAAAAACACACTGATTCCTGGACCAGCCACGGGCCGGACTGATAAGGCGATTGGGCTGCATCCAGCCCCTGGGCCTTAGGTTGCCTACCCCTGAACTAGATAACACCGTAGCAGTACTTGGAAAGCAGTTCTTCCCCACTTGTAATCATCAGGGCAGAAGCTGAGGCTGGAAGGCAAGAAGTGACCATTGAGTCTGGTAATAAAGTAAACAGTGAGGAGCAAGAGAAGAATGGTAACTCTGATCACAATGCCCACAGAGCAACCGCCTTCAGTGCCACCATAAGATATATACAAGGTTATAGCCACATCCATAAAATACTACTGTCCCCCTCTCATGAAAGTGTAATGAAGTCATTGGGATCCAGTTCCTGGGACAGTCCCTTGCTGGAGACACAATTCCCAGCCCAGAGAGTGTAATTTCAGCACCAGAATCAGGTCATTTGCAAACCCAGCTTCTCCAAGCACACCAAGGTGGAGCTCACCCTCCAGCAGAAGATTGCGAGTGCCCCATCTTACAGTGCTATACCAACAGCAGGTGTTGTCAAGCAGTGGTGAAATTGCATTTATTTCAGAAAGGCAGTTTCCCACCCACCTCCTAGAGTGGTATGAATAGCAATTCCCCATAGGAGTTCAGAGTAGTGGCAACAGCACTGCTCAGTATCCAACAGTGCCGCTGCTTCCGCCACCAACCTCTGCTGATGAGGTGTATTTAATTTTTTTATAACCACCCACCTACCTGCTGACACACCTGAAGTGGCAGCATGGTGATGTAAACACTAATGACTGAAGTCCATAGCACGGACTGGGTACCAACGGTGCTAGAACTCATATAAAAATCGTAATGCACATGTGACCTGAAAACAGATACAAAAGAACAGCTGCCAGTGGAACAAATGAACAGGAGAAATCTCAGCTTCATGTTCATTAATCTCTTTTTCTAAAGGGCATTAGCAACGCCCTCGTTCTGTGTTAATACAGTACTGTAAGATTGGGGTTTAAACAGAAGGGGTTTAATGAATCCAGGAGTAGTGCTAGAGATTGACAACAGTCCTAGCGAAGTTGCCAAGTAACAACTCCCCCCTATAGTTTGGGAGATTTGGCTGATAGTTCTAAACTGCTGCTGTTCACAATGGGTAGGAAATATCTGAAGGGGAAATAACAGTTATGAATGGGGGGGAGGGGCTGTATGGCCTTCTAATTCCTGGATCCAGCAAGTGTTAAAATCTGAGCAAAGATTCAGATTCCTGGAATAGTCAGGCTAGTTTCCTGGTGAGGTAATGGGTCATTAAGGAAACAAAGGGAGTGACTCTGTGCCAGATGACAAATGGCACAAACTTGCTGGTAGTTAGAAAGACAAAAGCCAGAGTGGAGAGTGGCATGATGTGAGCTAGAAGCTGGAAGCTGGAAGCAACCGGCTGGGAAGCCAGAGATTCAGAGCAATGCCTTTTTCTGGTGGAATCAAAGGCTGTGGCTATGGGAGAAGCAAGACCCACTTGGGGTGTTAATGCTGCGAGCCCCTCCATCATAGGCTCAGGTTGTATATATGTGTAAATAAACCACATATCCTAAAGACACCACAGTCTCCACTGTGTCTCATTCCAAGAAAACTGAACCCTGGGTAAGCACCTGGAACCCCTGGAAATTTGCACCGCTCGGAGATTGGGGTGGCATGCAACATAATTCTTGCATGCACCCCCAGCTAAGAATGAGGTGATCTCCCTGTGAAGAGAAATTGCCTTAACAGTGACAAAGTCTGGCACAGGAAATGAGATTCCTTCCAAACCTGTCCATTGAGCATTCATCCCAATTTGGTTGCACAACATTTGTGGGAAGGATCAAAGAGGGCCATTTAGTGAGCATTCTCAGGGAGGTGATGCAATTTTCTGTCAAGTAAGTGGTATTTCACATTTCCTACTGCATTTTACTGTCACTTTCCTTATTGCAAAGTCCGATTTGAGTGGGGAGGGAGAGACAATTCAGCTTTAATTGTGCAACCTGAATTTGTCAGTATGAACTAAGATAGTGAACTTTCCTCTATCACTCCATCTGCACACTGAGGAAAACTGAGTCACTTGAATTTCTGCTTTCCTGGAAAAAGTACTCCAATTAGTTGTATTTTCCCTTGTATACTGAAGAATATAACCTCCCTGTAAATATACTGTATGCATTGCTTTGCTAAATTTTGTACTATTTTAACAGAAACTTTAATAGAGTCTGTGTCAGGAAAAGAGGCAACAACTCACCTGTTACTTGCTCTATGTGTGTGAAGTAGAAGATACTCTGGAATACATTCCTTCTCTTGGTGTTAGTTCGCAAACTGTGGCAGACAGCTCCATAAATCACTGGTACATGCTGTTAGTCTAATGACAAATGTCTGGGAATAGAAATTTGATTTTATGGTTTTTATTATATTACAGTTTTAACAATCAGCTTGTGAAAGATTAATGGCCCCTGATGAACCTTTGGAATTAAGATGAATATGCTCTTTAGATGCTGCGAGTGCAAATGTTGTGATGAATCTGGACAATCTGAGCATCTTTATAAGAAGGATTGCCGCAAGAGCTAACATGGTTTATAGGCAGTTTCCAAAAACGGAGGCAAGCATGAGCAAGAGCAGACCTCCTGTGCTCTCACTCCCTGGTTTTTGAGAACTGCTTAAAGAAACAATAACAAGGAACACAGACTTAATCCCAACTCATACTCCTCATCCTCTGATATCATAGTAGATAGTCAGTGGTTACATGCTTCACCTTTTCTTCTTAATGACTGGTTGTTACTGGTGGAAAACGTGGAATCTTGCCTAGGGTTGTGTTCAAGACCCTCTGCTCTGCAAGGAGACAGAGCTCCCAGATTAGGCAAAACAGCTAGTATCCAAAAGGGAGTCCTATCAACATTTGACAACCCTCATTTTGTGTGTGATGTTTTACAGATGGGATGCCAAGGAAGGTGAAGAAATGCCCTTTGTAAAGGATGAACCTGATAAGCAGGTGAGTCTACTCTATAGAGTGTTGCTTAGATCAGGAGTGGGGAACCTTTTTTTGGTTCTGTGGGCCAGATCCTTATCAGCATCTATCCTCGCAGGCCAACTGTGATGGATACATAGGGCCACCCACCTGTCCTTTTGGAGCTCTTTGCAATCCATTTTTGTTGTAACAACCCTGGACAATTTGGTTTCACCAGCAAGCTTTGCCACCTCAGGTGGGCATGCTTTGAGGGAAGCAGCCTCCTGAGAGAGGTTGGCAACCCTGGCAAGCCAGGTTTGGTCCACTGAGCAGAAGTGCCTTACCAAACAAAATAACACCAAGCCTTGTACTTTGCATTAATTCAGAAGAAATACAGCCCTTGGTTCTTAACTCATCAAAGTAGGGTAGAGTCTTGGGGGCCAAGCTGGATGAGATTCTCACTAATGCCTGACCAGGCTCTTGGAGGTTTACGTTTCTTGAACTGAAATGCATCTAACAGGGGGTTGCAGATCTGACTGGAGTAAGGCGGTGGAGGAAAGAAAGAAGATGCTTAACTCTTTTCCCTCACACTGCTTTAGTGTAGATACACACACACACACAGAAACACATCTAGTTGCTTTCCCTCCCATGATGGGAAAGAAATGATCCTGTATCCTCCCTGCCCAGCCTCAAGGATTGGGTTGTAGCTATGATCTCTGCTGCCAGTGCTCCCAGATTTTCAGCTTCATATAGCTACATTTCAGTTAAAAGAAGCAGCAGCAGATTGATCAAGCAGCTCCGAGCATCCCTTCTACTTTGGCACACAGAAGCTTGCACTGGGAAGGTGAGAAAAGCTAATCCTTTAACCAATACTTATGAGTATGAGGGAAGATCCCTGTGTTACCAGAGCGGCCTGGGAATTTCTTCAACGTTGCCTAGTTCCACATCACTCCAGGGCCATTGAATAATTCTTCATTACAATAAAACAATTATCCTATATTGTGAATATAATATATGCTGTCTCTCCAATAATAAATCATTAATAGGCCAAATCCTATGCAGTGTATTTCAAAATATGCCAAACTGATTTTGAAGGGTTTGGCCTAATATGGAGATGTTTGTGTAAATGATAAATTATTTCATTGCAATGAAGAACTGTGCATATTTTAAAGTACTGTACATTTTCCCACTCTGGTTGCTAGGTGTTTGTTTTTTAAGGGCCATTTGTGCCTCAGTTGTTTGCATGCCCCAGCACTGCTTATAAACAGGAATTATGTGAGCCAGACAAATCATTTCCTGCGTCAAGTGTGGTGTAGTGGTTAGAATGCTGAGCTAGGACCAGGTCCAAATCCCAACTAAGGCTGCAATCCTATAACCCCATGTTGCCTTTGAATTCAACAGGGCATTGTTCTGAGTAGGAATGATTAGGATTATGTTGTAAGCCATGAAGCTCACAGTAGGAGGAGAAGGAGAAGGAGAAGGAGAAGGAGGAGAAGGAGGAGGAGGAGGAGGAGGAGGAGAAGGAGAAGGAGAAGGAGAAGGAGAAGGAGAAGGAGAAGGAGAAGGAGAAGTTGTATACTGCCCTAAACTCCTTAGGGTAGTGATAAAGCAGGATATCAAATCCAAACTCTTCTCTTCTTCTTCTACACGTGCAAGTCTCAGTAGCTGTGCTTTAGTTTTCTCACTAGTGAAAGGGAGACTTTAGTCACCTCTGGCAGCCAGCTACTGATACCAACAGCTTTGCAAGGGTAATCTGTTGTTTTTTTAAGTCAATTATGTAATAAGTAACTAAGCAAAGTTTTGTCTTCTGTCATTCTAGAGATCCTTGAGCAACGAGCAACTGAAAAAGCAAGCTCTGGCTAGCGAAGCAGTCAAAGAGCATAACTTCCCAGCAGGCCTAGAGAATAATATAAAGCCCCCAGAACACAGTGCTCCCTTGCCTCAAGCCCAAAGAGATGAATGGAACCAATCTGCAGGTGAAGAGCAGGGTGAAAATGAAAAAGCCAGGATGTGCCTAACCCAGGGCATGTCTCCCGCAATCAGAGCGGATGAGACTGGGGCAGATTTCAAACTCAGTAAGTCAGTAACTGGGACTGATTTGTCTCCCAAGGGCAACTATATGAATAGCAGCTCTTCTCAGGGAGTGCCTGGGAATGTGGTGCAGACTTCTGGGTGCGACCTTCAAGAAATCAATTCCATAGTCTATGAAGGTGGCTTAGACAAAAGTGCGTATTGTGAACGGAACCCTTGTAGGGAGCAAGCAGGAAACAGTAGTGAGCTGTTGAGCAAGGAAGGAGGAGGTGGTGAAGACCAAGGGCTGATCACAGTAGGACAAGGAGAAGAGAACCAAGTTGGTGGCCTCCAGAAGGAGATAATACCTGTGAAAGAAAGTGACACTGCAGCCTGCCTTGTTCAAACGGAGGAGTCCAGGCCTCCATGTAAAGAAATTCCAGACCCGACGAATGAATATGTACAGGAAGGGGCACAAATGAGGAACAAGGAAGAAGACCAACCTCAGTCGTGCAGTAACAAAGCACAGGATTAAGACTGAACACACAGGGCTCCGTAGAGGCCAAAGGTGAGTGCAATGCTAGCCCCTCCACTTGGTGTTTTATGTAGATTTCTAGCCTGCTCTGTCCCAAGAGCTCAAGCCTGGTAGCTCAGTTACACCTAAAAAGATGGGACATCACCATCCAGGAAGTTCTCCTGCCCATCCCCTACTGAAATGAATCATACTTGGCTCTTGCACTGGTAAGACTGTTTTCATTCATTACACTGAGGTTTAAACAGGAGAATCCCCTCGTGGATTCAGTCCTTGTCCCTTAGGAGCACAGCTCACAATATTTGACTGGCCACTTTATGTTGAAGAGCTAGGCATTATTGTGATGACCCTTGAAAGCTGCATTTTCTATAGGTTGGTCAATTCCCACTTACTAGGCACAGATCCTAATATTACATGGATGAATCTGCCATTGCGCTGCTAAACGGTTCACAGCAGAAGATAGTCGGCAACAACCAGCTTCCAAATGATTACAAGCTGTAATGAGAATGCAGCTCTCTTCTTCAAAGCTGCATGTCTTAACCTTGGGCAACCCTGCTGTGATCCTACTAAAGATCATCAAGACCATTCATTCATTTGTTCAGATTATCTAGTTGGGGGTGGAAAGGAAAACCCCTGCAGAAGCAGAATGCTCTTCTCCAGCAGTGAACGCAGTATGGTAGGTCTTTTCTTCCAGGTTATACTTTCCAGACTTTTAGGTTTCAAACAAACATATTCAGCTGCCATTCCCAACCTTGTTCCAAGCTGTTTCCTTCCCAGAAAACCACCAATATCCACAGAGCAAAGCTGAGAAACTTTGAGTAAAATGGCTAAACTAAGATTTTTTCATGTATTCTTTTACACACACTAATCTCCTCCCTCCAGTGAAATGAATGGGGCAACCAAAGTGTAGTAGAACTCCATGCACAAATCAATGCTGTGAGATGACTCTAGTGTTAGAGCAGGGGCCTTAGGCAACATGGAGATGGCAAGCTGCCCAAGGCTGGCCCAATGAGCCAAAAGTCAAGTTAGAATTTGATTTCCTTTTCAAAAACTAAATAAATAAATTGAATTTACCATTTAATTTTAAAGAAGCTTATTTTTTTTTTAAATGTTCAATTGTTTATACCCACTACAAGACTATTCAGCATCTAAGTAAATAATACAGGAAGTCTCAGATTTTGAAATGGATCATATGATATTTCAAACGTAGGTGTCAGAGTTGCTTCAAGATCCTAGCTCACAGAGGATCACGCTAGCCAACGGTCATTAAGTAAAAGTCTTTATTGAGTTACAGTTTCCATTCTCAAGCTGCTGCGTGCAACTCTACGTCTAGTAGCTAGATCGGCGAAGCTCCGTCTGAATCTCCGCCCCTTGTACACCAACTTAATATCCTAGCCCTGCTCCACCTTTTCCGCCTGACTGTTCTTCTCTGGGTCCCTCTGCCCCCCTGGGTCTCTTCCTTCCGGGATTCTTCTGACGCTGACCCCCCGGACCCTCCTGTCTCCTTGCACCGGGCTTTAGGACCTGGCTCCCTTTCCGGGCTGCCTACTGCGCCGCCTTCCTGTGCATTTGAACTTGGCGCGCGCGCCCAACCTTCCACCTTCCGTCTAACCGTCTCTTCGCTCCCAGATGGAGGTGTGGCCACTCCTGACTCGTGCCCTCCCTCCTGTTGTGAGCTGCCAGCGCTTGCCCCCTGGCTCCCTTCCTCTTCCCTGTTCTCTGGCGGTGACGCTGGTCCCGATCTCCAACTGCTCTCCTCTGAGTCCCCTCTGGCTCTATCTTCCTGGGGTGCCCCCCTAAACTCCCCCCTTGCCCTGGCCACTGGTGCTCCTTTCTGTGAATCCTCCGATTCACTGGAAAGACTCGGAGATCTCGGGTCGTCGTCATCACTCATCTTTTCTTCTGCCTCCTCCCCTTCGCTCTCTGTTTCCTCCCTTGCCCTTGCCTCTGCTCCTGAACCCCTGACATCCGGTAAACCTTTGAAGAGCTGAATAATCATGCTTTTGAAATGTTAAAGCAGTTTAGTGTACTTACAACCCATGTTAAAACAATGTCGGTGCAAATTATTAACATACACACACACACACACACACACACACACGGCTTTGCAGTATTCTTTTTGTGTTTTATATTTTATTTTATTTTATTTTATATTAGTCCTGGTCTTCTGATCGGCAGATGCAAGAAATGGTGCTAAGAGGAACCATACGTGAGAAACTATAGCAAACCCTTTGCTTGTAACATGAAGTTTCTTTTTTATCATCATCACCATCAATCACTATTACTTATTAATAAGACTTGTCTAACTTGATGATCTGAAATTGCCTTAGGTTAAAAAAAAAAAGACTTGGTTGAGGTTCCTGCTCGTCCCACACATTTCATGTCAAGTTGTAAGACCATCTTTCTTCATATTGCCATCCATCAGTGGAGCCCTTATGTCGGTGACAGATTTCACACATAGAGCTGTTAGCTGTGACCCATTTCTCCAAGGAAACAACTCAGGAACATATGACTTTAATGCTTTGCAGCCGGTATCTTATCCATTGATGCAATTTCTGTCAGAGAACAAGAAAATGCTGCTTTTTTATTCAGAATAAAGATTGCCTCCAAAAGCTGCCCAAGCATTTTCCCCAGACCTAAAGAACATTACCTCAAACCCTTATCACCATTTATACATGCCATTGTATAAAATAATATGCACAGGTTAACAGACACTCCGGATAATACATAATGGGTGAAGCAGACAAAACAGAGGCAGGGAAGGGCCTTTTTTTGCCCTCATCTTCTACCAACCCATCCCTCAACTGCTTGCTAGAATCTGTCCCTGGTAGCTGCCTCCATGGGCATGGCCAGGATTTTTGTTGGGGGGTGGGGCAGAACAGACGTGATTGATCAGTTAAGTATTTCTATTGTTTTACTTGATCGGGCGGAGGGGCAGGTGCCTCCCTGCCCTCCCCTTGGCTATGCCTATGGTGAGAGAGCCAGTGTCTGCCACTGCCAGAGCAATTACACTGAACTCAGGAAATCTGAAGGGTCAGTGTGGGGTATTGCGAGTGTCAGACTAGGATTCCACAGATCCTTACTCGTTGAGCTCAAACTCCCACTCAGCCATGACACTCACTGGCTGACGTTTGTGGAAGGGACATAAATCATCAGAAGAAGGCCTTAGGATGAATCTCTGGCATCTTCAGGTAGGGCTGGCAAAGGCTCTGAAACTCATCTATCCCACATCTTGTTCCCTTGAGGAAGATGCAATACACACACACCCCAGGCAGATTCCACCTTGCAAGAATGTTCATTTCACTCTGCCCCAGTTGGCACCAGAACCCTAAGGAGAATGTTTTCGAAAGTCATGTTTGTTCTTAAAATTCAGCAGAATAAAATATAGATTATCATCATGGCCAAGAAGGGGCAAAAGAACCTCTTACTTAGCAATAAGAAATATCCTGGATGTACACACATCTACAAACTTCATTTCTCACTTGCCCCCAGCAGACAAATTGAGAAGTGCTCGTCTTTCACTCTCAGGCATATGCACAGAAGGAGGGAAGGGCTGGGGCATAGGGATCCTCTCATTGCAAGGGATAGCCCAGTCGGTACAGCATGAGACTCTTTATCTCGAGGTCATTGGTTCAAGCTCCATGGTGGGCAAAGGATTCCTGCATTGTAGCAGGTTCGACGAGATGATTCTCGGGATCCCTTTCCAATTTTATGAAATAAACAGGCTACTGTAGATAAATGGTGGGTTTTCCTTTCTTGTGGTGTCCGGCTCCTCCCCCAATAATTGCTTCAAAAGGTTTACATGTAAAATCTGCAACAAGATGTTGCAGTGTGGAGTGCTGCTGTTCACAATTCCAGCCACTCCATTCCATTTCCCATTTTGCCATAGTTTTCCTTCCCATGGATCAGGCCAATAGCCCATCTAAGTCCAGCATCCTGTTCCCTCAGTGGCCAACCAGGTGTCTGTGGGAAGCCCTCTCCCCATCAGACAGACAGACAACTTTCCATGGCCAACGGAGTCAGTTCGAAAATCCTGCTGGAGGCTAAGTGCAGCCAGTACCTCTAGCCTTTCTTCACATGAGTTGGCGTCTTAAAACTTGATCATCCTCATAGATAGATAAAACTTTATTCACATTAGCCAATGGCCATAGCAACAGTAAAACATTACAGTATACACAGAAAAGGAAATTTGATATAAGAGCACAATTTAAAGTCCTGAATCAGCAGTCAGTTAGTGGTGATCGTCCCATAGTTGCTCTTATCCTCTGCTTCAAAATGACAATAACCCAAAGCATAAGCCCAGAATCCCCTGCAGAACTCCCCCCCCCGCCCCCGTTTTAAAGTAAGAGGGCCAGGCAAATCAACAAAGGAAACAAACTACAAAAGCGTTTCATTCAGTTATATCAAACCAATTAATTTCAGACTCTCCAGAGAAAATACAGCTGGGGTAAACTTCCAAAGCACAGTGGGGTGCTGACGTCAGCGTCCTCCCCTGACGTAAACAAGAGCAGTACAGCCAAAGTCTTGCGAGCTGCGGAGGTCAGTCTTAGAATGCAAGACAATGCTGAAGGAGTTGGCATTATTGAGCAGTACACGGAATTCCTCTTCTGATTAAAAGCACAGGAACTTAGGCAATAGAAATGTTAACTCCCACCCCGCTCCGTTCCTCCCTTATATCTGAAAGGATGTGGGTATAATAGAATAGCTAGAAACTGGGTTGTTGTTGTTGTTGTTTTTTTAAAAAAAGAGGTTCTTAGAATTTGCACAGAAAGATCATGGAATAGAAATGACAGCTACAAGGCCCATTTCTTAATACCTCTTAATGCTAAGCCATTTGTAGTATAATCTGCAGTGTTTACAGCAGAATGGACTGTACTGCAAGGTATAGGACTGCAGCCTTACTCAGAAATATTTATGGGGGGGGGGGTCAAGGCAGATTTGGGAGGGAAGGCTTTTCCTTACCTGCCAATACCCATTTTGTGTAAGAGTTGCCCTGAAAGAATTATAATAGGCTGCCACACCCTAGTCAGTCCAATTGCTTGGGGAGATCCTGAGCCCTGCTGCCAGGGACTTCTCCCTTCAGCCAGCTTCAGTTAAAAATAAACAAGGAGATGAGCTTTGTATTTAATATACTTCCCTGAAGCCCAGGGGAAACCACTTAACAAAGAACCTCTTGAAATGTCCTTATGATGCAAGGGATAAAGTGTGTCCCAGTGGAGGAGGAAGATAATAATAATTTTATTATTATAAGATAATAATATTATTATTTATGTATACCCCGCCCATCTGGCTGGGCAGCTCCCAACAGAATATTAAAAACACAATAAAACACCAAACATTAAAAATTTCTCTAAACAGCCAGGACTGCCTACTGAACTGGCTGTAAACAAGAAAGCAGGTGAGTGGGGCTGGCTGGCGTTGGTGGGGCTGTGCCCCATTTACCCTAATAGGCTAGCCTCCACAGGTACTAAGCTTCACAGCAAGTACATAAAACCAGCTCCTTGACGACTGACTCAGCCTATGCCAAGTAATTGACTTTAGGGGGTGGGGGGTGGGGAGAGGAGATGAGAAAGGTTCAAGTTGTCCATTAGGGGGTGTTTACAGCGTGCTCATCCTCACAGCATCTGAACCTCTCAGTGAGCAGCAACTTGTGCTGGACAGACTCTCAGCTGGGCGAGTAGCTCACAGGAGAGGCCTGCTGCAGCTTTAATTTGCCACACAGCAGTTCCTGGCCCGTCTGATGTTGCTTTTGTTTGTATTCCAGGACAACTTGCTAAAGCAAATCTGGTTGCAAAAGAAGATGAGCACAATCTCCCCCTCTGTCACTGACCTACAGCACCTGACCTTCAGCTCCCAGCGGCGCCTCCCCCTGCAGGTGTGTTTACCTGTCTAGAAGCCACTTGCGCCCTGAAATTGTCTACTCAGTGCCGAAGGACAGAAAAGGCCTACTTACAAGCAGCCTCCTGAGGAGAAAGGAAAGGAAATCATGGCACTTGTATTTTGTACCTAACTCCCCCCCCTACCCTTTATATTGTGGGCATGTGATGGGCCATGAGTTGTCTACTGTATGCACTTTATTTTACTGAATAACTAATGATATTTATAAGTTGGGTTTGCTTTGAAGATAATTCCCCTTATTTTTTCTCCTCAATACTGGCCAACGGATCTACTCTTTTGTTGCTTCCAAAACCAAGTGGCAAACTTTACAGAGCCTCTGGCTGGGCTTGAGTTTTATGGATGTTCGGCCAGTTAGAGACAATGAAGAAGAAACCATTTTCTTAACAATAAAGGTGGCTGAGGAGATAGTAGATCCAGCAGCCAGGAAGACTGTGTTGTGGCTTTGCACAAGTGTGGCAGAATGATGAGAAGGGACCAGTGGTGTCACAGGTTCCACACAACTGATGGCTACAAGTTCATTGAGGTTTCTGTAGAATGCTTTCTCTCTTTAACCTTCCTGGTTTTGAACCTGTGACTATCATTAACTTCCTCGTTTAATACAGGAAACAGTAATCCCTTCCTAAGTATTTTGGCTCTAAGAGGAGGCAGCTCCTCGCTGCTGCCTGTTCCCTTGGCCTCTCCCTTTGAGGCTAGAGGGAAAGTTGATGGTCATATGTGTATGAAGGAAACAGGCAAATCGTTATCATTCCCAATAGCAAAACATCCAGACTGAACTTGATTTTGGCTTCACATTCGTTATCATTCCCAATAGCAAAACATCCAGACTGAACTCCTTGATTTTGGCTTCACTCCCAAATCAAAACATGGTGGAAGAGAAACCAGATGTGCAAAAACATACGTTTGTTTGTTTGTTTTTTGTATGTGGTTATGTTGTAAATGGCTGTGATGTTAGAGCAGAGATGAACGGAATCCAAAAAGTAATGTTGGCACCTCCTGTGAAAGCACTGAAAGGTTTGGGGGATTGCAAACAGAAGTACTAGGCGGACCAGACAGCACCGAGATATGACTGTGCCAGTTGCGTGTCATTTCAGTTGCTTGCTGGCCTGCAGGATTCCCTGTACCTGGGAAATGGTATTGCAGCATAATTCCATAAAGCAAAACAAAGTTTTTGCAAAGCATTGTCTCCTCACTTATAGGATATGATAGGAGCCAATTGCAGTTGAGCACCAGGGTTTTGTGAAACAATCTAGCTATGTGTGAGAAATGGCCGGCAGAGGCGACTCCAAGCCCAGCAGCAAATGTCTGCATTATGGATTGGCTCCCTAAAAATGCAATGGGCACAATCCAGGGGGACCTGACTCCAGATCAATTTTTAACTTGCTCCTAAGTGATCTGGAGTAAGGAGTGAGCAGGGAGATGACGAAGTTTGCTGACAGCACCAATTTTTGTGCAAGGCAGTAAAAACAAAAAGGGATTGCGAGGAGCTCCAGAAGAATTTGTCTGACCTGGGTAAATGTGCATTAAAATGGCAAATCTGGTTCAACGTAAGCAAGTGTAAAGTGATGCATACTGATTGGGGGGGGGTTCCTAATTTTACATACGTTTTGGCAGGGCCCAAGGAAAAGGAAACTAAGGGGAGAAAGATGTAAGTTATGGTGGATTGTGCAATGAAGATGTTGACCCAGTTCACAGCAGCTGTGAAAAGGTGACATCCATGCTGGGGACAACTGGGGAAGGGGTTGAAAATAAAACTGCCAGTATTGCAATGTCAAACTATTTTATAATGGGGCCCGCTTGGAATACTCTGCATAGTTCTGGCCCCACATCTCAAAGAGGATATTGCAGAGCTGGAAAAGGGCAACTAAAATTATATTAGTGCTGAAACCCCTCCATGGAACCGGGGCTTTTAAATTTGGTAAAAAGGAAAGTAAGGCAGGCAGGGTAGGATAGTTTTATAAAAATACGCATTGTGTTCAGAAAGTGGGTGTAAGTTTTTCCTCCCACTTTCATAACACTAGAACTCAGACGCATCCACTAAGGCAAAATGATGGGAGATTCAGAACAGACAAAAGGAAGTGCAGCACAAAGTTAACCTAAGGAATCTACTACTAACAGATGTGGCAACGGCAATCAAATTAGATAGTTTTGAAAGGAGAAGGGATTTAATTTGTGACAATTTAATATGAAAGATGCCATTATTATATAAAGTAAATTAATAGATTAAGTGTTATTCAGGGTGTGTGTGGATGCTGTTTGCGTCTGATAGGTCAGAAGAGAACGCCATGTTGTGGGCACAGCAGTCATATGGGACTTACACAACAGTGTATCCCTGATGCACTGGTAAGGAGTAAAACACAATATTAATTCTCTTTCACTAGATCGATTCTAAAAGGTAATGTTCAAGTGTGCAGAATTACACACAACTTACACCCAGTTGAAATTCCATCTTTCAAGGGAGCATGATAGACACAAGCTTTCTCTAATTTTTGCTGGGTTAAAGAGGTATCGGCACCAGAAATCTGTCACATTAGAATTGTTCTCCCCGTGATGCCAGCATTCAGAAAAGACGTACCTGCTAGAACATCCTTACCTCCAGCAGACCTATTGTTATTTATGACCACTATGTGGCTGGGGAGAGAGGTTGCAAAAGAAGGGCTCTGCAATTTTTTTGCAAGAGATGTCTGGACGTCCATAGCTATCCCGTGACCCAGTATTTTCAGTGAAGCAAAGCAGCATATCTGGAGTATGCATGCAGAGATATTTGCTTGGCTTCTCAGCAACAAACTCTTACTAGCCCTAATAGTAATTGTGCTTTACTTTTGTCCAGAATAATGAGAAGCATTGCATTTGGTATTATTCAACTAGCAAATGTGTTTTGGTTTTCCCACTTACTCAAATGGAAAGCACTCAGATGGCTTCTATTCTGGAGAATCCGCAATCTGTTCAGGAGGGGTTTGCAGCCCCCATAGGCACCCTGTTAGCAAGAAAGCAGAAAGTGTTGTGCAATTAGCATGTGCTTCAGTAAAAATAATAGTTTGAATTTGTGAGAGCCAACACTGGCCTCCTTTGGAAACAAACAGATCAAATGCGTCATGATAAATGATTTTTAGGTTTGAAAGTTCTTAACCTGAACAGATTTGATTCCTATGTCCCATAACACTCAGCATTGATTATTGACACATTACCAGATTATGAACTTGAAACTTAAAAAAAACAAAAAAAACCCACTTTTCACCATGTAGGGCACATGGTATGACTGAAAGAAAAATAAGCACAATCCTCATTGATTTTCAGTGGGGCTGCAACACACATAAATGCTTTTTGTATGTATCGGTTGTTAGAAAATGAATTTGTTTATATATCACTTAACATAATTTTGAGCAGGATTTCCACCTGTTGTTCTTCCAGTACAATCGTGAGTCATCTTAATAGTGAAGTATGGAAAACTTGAATTGCTAGGTTGCCTCGTTGGCAAAAGAGAGAGAGAGAGAGAGAGAGAGAGAGAGAGAGAGAGAGAGAGAGAGAGAGAGAGCTATTCTCAAGCCTAATAATAAGCTCCATTAAGTTCCACTTAAGTTCACTTATGGAAGAGGAACTGTTAGTCAGCCTTTTGTCCCAGAAGACCAAAATCAAGTAAAATCTGGCAAAACAGTAAGACACATATGGGCAGGTGAAAACAATGAAATGTGTGAAAAGGCACTATGGGATGGTGCCTTATCAAAAACACTGGTCCTTCCCAAGTATAGAATCTTTATGCATACCTGCACAGTTTTATAACAGTCTATTGAGGCTTTCCCTGAGAATTGTCTTAGAGATCCTTTCTCTCTGCCCCTGCCACCAGCCCTACCATTTAAAAACTAGCATTTCCTTTGAAGAGAGAATTGATATTAAATCAGTTTAAGCCTATGTACACGTTAGTGGCTTAACGCAGCAAGGCCATTTCTACCCACTCACCCAAGTCATGTTTTTACATTGCTGTATACAGCAGAGAGGGGGCAGGGATGTCTTCACTCAATGTGCAATACCTATTTGTTGCCCTGCATCCGCAACCCCCCTGAACATCTCTTCGTTGAAGCTGTCATCTGCACATGTGCAACAGCCACCTCAAACGGACACACCTCAGCTTACATTTTCAAGCTGGATGGAAGCTGGTTTGAAGGAACAGACATTAGACAGCAGTATTTCTCTATAAACTACAGGATACCTATGGATTGTGGCTAACAGCATGTGTACTATGCTCCAAACACCATCGGTGGGAGTGCACTGGAGTAAATGGAAATGTGTCCCACGGTCTAAGACTGCACTGTTAATAGTACCAATGGAAGGGTCTGCATTAACTCTGCTTATTGACATTTTTTTAATATAAAAGAACCCTTGATACTGATTCTTGTTTTCCAGAATTTAAATGTGATGTTTGAGAGGTGAGTGAAATGATTAAGAAATACCGTGATTATTTTTGTTAAATGCTTAGGGAGAGTTTTGAGAGATTAGCAACTGCTACATTGTTAGGAACAAATAAAAGATTCCGCTAAAATGCAGGTAAACAACAGTTTTCAAAACAAAGATTGACTCCTTGGTGTTTACGGAGCTGTGTTCTCCCATCATTCTGCCCGGACACTGAGGTCCAGCGCCGAGGGCCTTCTGGCGGTTCCCTCATTGCGAGAAGCAAAGCTACAGGGAACCAGGCAGAGGGCCTTCTCGGTAGTGGCGCCTTCCCTGTGGAACGCCCTTCCAGCAGATGTCAAAGCGATAAACAACTACCTGACATTCAGAAGACATCTTAAGGCAGCCCTGTTCAGGGAAGTTTTTAATGTATGACATATTAGTGTATTTTTGGTTTCTATGGAAGCCGCCCAGAGTGGCTGGGGAGGCCCAGCCAGATGGGCGGGGTATAAATAATATATTATTATTATTATTATTATTATTATTATTATTATTATTATTATTATTCCCAGAAATAGTTGTGGCAGAAATCCACCCAAAACATCTTTTCAGCAAAACAAAATGAGCGGCTCCCTCCTCAGGAGTCTCAGAGCCAATTCACACTATCCTCGTAATGAGGGAACCTGGGACCTTGCGCAAACAAAGCAGATGCTTTGCCACTGAGCTAAAGCTCTTCCCTTGTAACATTGTATGGTAAAAGCACCTGCATAGCTGCATAACCTATATGTGAATATCTAGAATACTTGGAGGTGGTTGAAAAAGGAGTTAGCTAGACTGGCACACTCTGGCCACCTCAGATCTAGCCAGTGCAGGTCTTCAGTGGTCTGGATGTGCCACTCCACCTGGCACCTTCGTCTTCCTTGCCAACCTTCTGGTTATTGACATGTAATCATTGGGAACCCCCCTCCCCCTTGACATTTCCCAGGATCCTTTATCAGATTCCTGTGTCTGCTTGTGGATGAGTGTGAACAAGCATGATGGTCCAGACAAGTGGGGCTGGACAAATTGCAGCAGGTAGGTCAGACTTAATGGTGTGGAGAACAAGACCTAGGAGGACAGGTTGAAGGACCTGGGTATCTTCAGCCAGGAGAGGACAAGATGCAGGGAGGACATGGCAGAATCATTCAAATACTTGAAAGGCTGTCATATAGAAGAGGACAAAAACTCTTCTTCTTCTTCCCCAGAGGGCAGAAACAGATTTAATGGGCTTAGGTGACAATAGGGTAGGCTTTGGGTGAGAACCAGGAGCAATCAATTGACGATAACAGCCAATTCCTTTCCACGCTGGAGATCTTCAGGCAGAGGCTGGACAGCCATCTGTTAGGGATGCTCACACTCTGGATTTCTGGCACAGAGTAGAAAGATGGATCACAAAAGTCCACCTCCAGCTCTGATTCTATGGGTGCTCCTGAGCCGTGCTTCAGGCAGAGGGCATAATTCTTGCACTGACTTGGCTATGGCACAGATTTCTCACCCTCACACATGCACCCTCAAAGATGGATAAAGCAACACATTGGCCTCATCTTTCAGAGTTGCTGTTTTGAAGGAAAAGTAACCTACACAAAAAAACAAAACACATGCAACTGCATGCTTATTGTGCTATAAACGGAGAATCCCGACCAGAACTCTTCTGTGGAGACGGCAAAGCTGCCTTGGAGATAACTGGAACTCAAATGGAGCAATGAAAATTGGTTCCACCCAGGCACCCACTCAAAGCCGTTCTCTCCAAGAGGTAGCTGTTTCCTCTCACAATATTGGCTGGCAGCCAGAGGTTCTTGTTCCTCACTCTTTGAAGCTTTCTGCAAGGAGGGGGAAGCTGCAGGGAGTGCCCTGGATGCAGCAAACACTTACAGTACCAGCCAGGAAACCTACCTTACTGGCGTGGGCTGCTCAGAAATGGTGAGATTTATAGTCAGCTCCCAACAAATTATTACAGTAGGTCAATACTTACCTTGTGAGAGAAATCAATATTGCAGGCTGGAGAATTCTTAAATCCCTGTAAGAACAGATTTGTAGATAAACAACAACCCTTTTTTAAACATAAAATAAAATAAAAAAGCATTCCACTGAATCCAGATTGCAAGTGGGTGGATTGGAAATTCCACAAAGATAACAGTTCTGGGTCACTCAACTTTGATGTGGCTAAAGCAAAAGAATCCCAAGCTTCCTTTAGAGCTTACCAGGCGTTCCTCAACAAGATCAGCAATGCCGGACAAGTTCCTCACTTCCTCTGTTGATCTTGCCCTAGAATACACCATTGCAGGATAGTGCAAAGTGCATTTGGTGCAAAGATTCTCAAAATACGGTCTGCGAGTTCTGTTCAGGTGGTTCACGGCAACGTTGCAGAACAGCCAAGAATATCCTGCACTTGGTTTATTATTGAACCATCTAACAGGGCTGTGGCCTTGGGTCTCTGATTGTCATAATACGGTACCGGTGAATATTACAGCTGTACTGGATGGGTCTCATTAGGGTTGTAGTCCCAAACATCTGGAGAGCTCCATGCTGGGGAAGGCTATTCTATGCCTTCAGAGATGACAAGCAGAAATCCAACCGGTGCAGGATCATGGGAAGGAACACAGGAAACTGATTTATACCAAGGAAGAAGACCATTGGTGCAACCAACTCAGTACACTGTCTGGCAGCAGCTCTCCAGAGTTTCAGATAGAGGACAATCTCCGCAATACCTTGAGATGCCAGGGGTTGACCGTGGGACCGTTTGACATGGAAAAATGCAACTTCTGCCAGCATGATTCAAGTTACAGGAAAGGAGATTATATATCAGGAGAACTTTCTGATGGCAAGAGCTATTTGAACAGTGGAACAGACTCTGTTGGGAAGATGTGGACTCTCCTTTCCTAAAGACGTTTTTCAGCAGAGGTTGGATGGTGATCTGCCATGTATGATATAGCTGAGATTCCTGGAGGATGGACTACATGACCCTTGGGATCTCTTCTAACGCTACAATTCTATGATAAATGGTGGGTTTTCCTTTCCTATGGCGTCCAGTTCCTTCCCAGTACGTTTCCGAGCACAATTCAAAGTGTTGGTGCTGACCTTTAAAGCCCTAAACGGCCATGGCCCAGTATACCTGGAGGAGTGTCTCCACCCCCATCGTTCTGCCCAGACGCTGAGGTCCAGCTCCGAGGGCCTTCTGGCGGTTCCCTCACTGCGAGAAGTGAGGTTACAGGGAACCAGACAGAGGGCCTTCTCAGTGGTGGTGCCTGCCCTGTGGAACACCCTCCCATCAGATGTCAAAGAAATAAACAGCTATCTGATGTTTAGAAGACATCTAAAGGCAGCTCTGTTCAGGGAAGTTTTTTTTTTTTTTAAATAATTTTTATTAATTTTCCAAACATATAAAAAACAAAAAATAAAACAAAACAAAACATACAAAACATACAAACAAATAAACATGTATAATTTCTTAAAATTATTTTCATAAACCTTCTTTCCCGGACTTCCCCATACCTCCCTTTTTCTGCATCCTTATGTTAACCCTTTCTCAGCAACCCTTCGTTTCAATTTGTTCGCTCATTTTCATTATGCATTTTTTAAAGTTAAGATTTACAGCTGCAATTCTCTATTTCTTATAACCATAACATCTCAGCCATCATTAATTTTACAACAGTCTTTAAGATATTTTTTAAATTTCTTCCAGTCCTCTTCCACCGTCTCTCTCCCCTGGTCGCGGATTCTGCCGGTCATCTCTGCCATACCCATGTACTCAGTCACCTTCGCTTGCCATTCTTCCAGAGTAGGTAGCTGTTGCGTCTTCCAATACTTTGCTAGAAGAATTCTCGCCGCTGTGGTAGCATACATAAAGAAGTTTCTGTCCTTCCTTGGCACCAATTGGCCCACCATACCCAAAAGAAAGGCCTCTGGCTTTTTCAAAAATGTCCATTTAAGGACTTTTTTAATTTCATTATAGATCATTTCCCAGTAGGCCTTTACCTTCGGGCAGGTCCACCAAAGGTGATAGAAGGTACCTTCAATCTCATTACATTTCCAACATTTGTTACTGGGCAGATGATAGATTTTTGCAAGTTTGACTGGGGTCATGTACCACCTATAGATCATTTTCATTATATTCTCTCTT